TGACATCTCTTATTATTTGTGGATTAAAAAAAGTTATTTTTGAAGTTGCCATTTTTTACAGTAGATATTGACACTGCCCCGCGCTCGTGCCACCTTATCATAACTATGAGTATAGTTTGTATGATTTAAAGCATGTTATTTTGACGTATTAATCATTAAGATTTGTCCAGTAAGAGCTGAGATTTTTACTTAGTTTTGCATTGAAACTAAGAAAAAAATTTTTAAATATCTAATCAATTGAGCTAATTATCAAAATTGATTTTAATTGTTAAAATCCATTGTTAAATTCAGGTTTTTATGTGTTGTTGTTTTTCATTTTTGACCTTTAATTTAATGCTGCGTATAGCACATAGTAGAATATAGTAATCACCCTTGTGCATTAGGGTAATTATGATAAGACATACATAAGTACATAAGACGCCCTCTGCAACTCGTTATCGTTCTTTTGTGTCGTGGTGTCGTCATCGTTCAGAATAATCGGCCATAATTCTTTTCAGCTATCCAGTCCATGTTGTTAGTTATTTATACATTTTATTGATTTGTTATTTGTGCCTTTTGACAATTACTTATTAAGTAACTCCACTGTCCACATTGATATAACTTGANAAACTAAGGCTCGACGTCTCAGTGGAGGCATTATGGATCGTCTAGACCGAAAAAGACTTGACAAATGAGATCGAACGTGAAGGTTATTTTCACTGTGTTCTTCGATTTTAATAGCATAGTGCATCATAAATTCTTCTTCATTCTTCATATGGTCAATAAAAAGTACTACTCACAAGTTCAACGCTTTATGCGTGAAGCAATCCGAAAAAATGCCCAGAATTGTGGCAAAACAATTCATGGCTTTTGCACCACGATAATGCACCTGCTCACATAACATTATTTACTCGTGAATTTTTGGCTAAAAGCAATTCCGTATTGATGCGCCAGCCTCAATTTCACCAGACATCACTCCGTGTGACTTTTTTCTATTTCCAAAAATAAAGAGAACCTTAATGGCCCATTGTTTTACAAGCATAGATGATATAAAAAGCGCATCGCTGAATTAGCTGAAGTCTATCCCAAGGATCTAGTTTGAGAAGTGTTTCGAGGATTGGAAGAATCGTTGGAACTAGTGCATAATATCTAATATGGACTTTTTTGAAGGCGACAGCATTAATTTAGACGAATAAATAAATATTTTTTTCAAAAAACGAAAATTTTTGTTATATTTTGAACACACTTTATAATGACCTTTGACCTTATGCACACCATAATTTTCATTATATTACAACATATATGATGCCATAGTTTAAATTTGAAAAATTCAAATTGTGTAATGAAAACTCTACAACTTGCTTGTTCAGACCATGTTCCTAATTTTTTTTTATTGAGACAATACAAACATTGCTCTACATAAATTAAAATAACATGCAATTTTAATGTAACAGAAACATCTGTTACATCGATAGCTTTTTTTTTAAATTTATGTGAATACCTTCGTTAAAGTTAATAGATTTTATTAGTGTTACACTATTTTATTCATTTATCAAAAGGTATTAATGTTAATTTCTCGGCTACATTAAATATTTGTGAATCAATAAATATATCACAGAATACATTTATTCTAAATATTTATTCTCAAATATTTCACCATGATAATTTTTTCTAACGATCTTAAGTTTTTTTGGTTACATTAGTACTTGTACTTTATAAATTCTGGATACAATACCATTCAAAAATAAAAAATTAATAAAACGTTGCAATAAATATTATTCTAAAGTCACAAATTATTTAATACATAAATACTGTTGTCTTCTTCAAGAAGTAGTAAATTAGAGCTATATAAAAACTTGTCTAGTTTTTAGTTTTTACTCATTATAGTAAATGATCTTTCACCATTTGAGTATAATTTACGCTTTTTGAAAGGTAGGTAGGTTTCAATCTTCTGATAAAATCAAAATAAACATGATAGTCTAAAAATATCCTTGATCAATAACTGCTCTTTTTAAATATATCTATTATTTTTACTTAGTAATTTCCAATAATTTGCCGTTTATCCAGTATGTTTCTATTAATTTTTCTGCATCTACATTAACAATAGTACGTTTTATTTTAATTTGCTTTTTCAACGTCAATGTCAAATCGCCTAATTTTTAAAAATCGTTTAAACTTCTAAAGGTTTGAATTAAATTATCAGCAGGAATGAAATTAGTCAAATTTAGACTTATGATTTCCTGTTAAGCGTTTATTAAACTTAAAATTAACAAAGCTTTCATGCACAAACATAATATTTATATTTTTACAGCGTAATATTGTTTGTATTACTTATAGTATTTAATTTAATTATACCACTTTTTTTTTTATAGAACTTTTTTGAGTTTCAACATATTGTAAGGTTTCAGCCAAACAGAGGGCCTACTAATTACCCACTGCCCAGGGGGGACACTGGACAGTGACCTAGTAGCCGCGCCAAACAAGATAGTACTTGTTGACGGAGCTACTAGGTTTTGATAAAAACAAAAAAAAAACAAATATTAATAAAAATGAAGGAAAAGTATAGGGAGAAAAATAAAAGAGGCCATGAATAATATAATAACATTTTTTTTTATAATTAATGATTAAATTTTATAATTATTATTTTAAAATATATATATATTCATAAAGGAAGAATAAATAAAAAAAAAGAAGCAAAAAGGAGGTGCTATATTAACAAGATTAATAATGGGTAGAACAGGGGGGTTTCACGTTATACTTGTTGTTGGTTGAGTTGCGGAGTGATGGCCCACCACCGGCCATAGTTGCGCCTCACATCACAATCATCATCATTATCACCATCTCGACGTTTTGTTTAAAAAAAAAACGGAGGACAAAAATACAGCCTGGTTGACACCACAAGTAGACGGCAGGTCGACTCGACGTTTTATTTTCTAAAAAAAAAACGGAGGACAAAAAAAATATGAACAGAAAACGTGGTTTTCACAGTAAAAATTATTTAGAACACACGACTTGTCGCCTCGGTAGTATAGCTGGGAAAAAAATCATTTGAAGCAGCATTTGTGTAGTGGCCGGTGATCGTGACGCCGGGTGGTGGTGGTACCAACTTTGACAAGTCCATTGGGGGGAAATACAACAATATGGGTATAGGTGCATTGTGTACGGTCAGCTGATGATGACAGATATCGGACCGGTTGACAAGTGGAGGTTATCATATACAAAATTATTAAAATACTTTACACCTACTGCACACGTATCTAATTGATAAGATTAATATAAAAAAAAACTTGTATAAATTCTGCAACATTACAATATCCTAAATTACCTGGAGTTGATATTTTTATGAAAGAATTTCAACTAATTCTACATTTTTTATGTTACTGCATGAGTACTAGTATTATTAGTTGTTTGAGCACCTTGTTGGCACCAGTGTGTAATCCGGCAGGACAATCTCTAGACGGCTGGTTTGGTTAAACGCATAAGTGATGATGGTCATCGATTGGCGGTGGTAATTATACCCGACGGGGACACATACATTAATTAATGAATCATAGATTTCAAAAATTTTTCTAAACGTATTACCCTAGAAAATTGCATCATAGTTATTTTTACTAACGGTCTTAAGTTTTTATTGGCTATATTAGTGATTTTTTATTACAAATTCTAGTTAATACTCTGTTTTGTCTGACGTTCCTAATACAATCTTTAATTATACTTTAAGTTTGTGCTGAATCTACCCTCTATAAAAGACCAATCTCGTTTAAGTGTTATTCTCTTAATAAAGCTCCGCAGGGAAGAATTAGTGTTATTAATTTTACTAATTTATTATATTTTCTGAGTATACAACAAAATGGTGCCAAACTAGTATCTTGAGATCCACGATTCTGAGTAATTTTCGTTATTGTATTCCACCGGTAAATGTGATTACGTTCGATTTTTTTTTATAACACATTGGATAATTGTTTTGGATTTTCAAGTTAGTGCTAAAATTTTGTTACATTTTTATGAGCCATAATATTAACTCATGTTTAAATTCTTTTCGTACTTCTAAAAATTTTAGAAGAGTTGCAAATCAATTGAAGCGTATTTCAAGTATATAAGTAGAGATAATTTATATTCCGAAATAGTTTTATTTATTCAATTAATTTTATTCATAATTAGAAATGCAGCAATGCTATTCTTCAGGAAATATAGAAAAATTAGTGGAGATTGTATATATTCCGAATAATAATTAAATAACATGTTATGTTTGTGTTAAAAATTTTGTCTGAATATTTAACTAATAATTATTAGTCAAATATATACAAATATATAGTAATATTTGTGCACAAATTAATAGACAAAATTATGCTAAAATGATCAGAAACAGAAGAGAGAAAATGTAGCTGATGTATTTGATTATTACATAGATAAAATTCAAATTCAGCTAAAATATTTAAATAATCAATAACTTTTACATTATTACATTATCAAATATTAATAATAAAATCACCTCCTAATAAACATATATTTTTTTATTCGACTTCAGTTTATTATGGTATATTGTATGTCACCAATGTAAAATTATGAATAACTATCATAAAAAATTATTTTTAACTTATTGCACATTATTGCTGTTTTTGGATAAAAAAACCAAATAAATAATACATTATTACTAAAGAAAAAATTGGAATGTATCCAAATTTTAAGCAATTTTTGAAAATGAGTGTCTTATCCTAAATTAAACATTTAGTCTAACTTAAAGTTTTCAAATTTGCTTTGTGTTTTCGCTTACTAGTTCAAGTCGCATCCATTTAATACTTAAAGTTTAGTTAAATAAATCAAGCATGAAAATTCAACATAAACGCATAACAATATTCACAATTGAATATAAATCAATAAACTAACATTTTAATAAAAAATTTAGTAAAAACAGAAATACTGAAAATAAATAATAAAATTAAATAATCAAATAAGTTTTTTAGTATCGTTAACGTTTCGAATCAAAGTTTTTTTTTATGGCACAATTAAATATAAATTAGTAAACTAACATTTTAACAAAAAATTTAGTTAAAAAAAGAAATTCTGAAAATATATAAAATCAAAGCATCAAATAATATTATAGAATCATTATCGTTAGATTTTAAGTAATTTATTTTTAAAATGTTCAAAAGACATTTTGTTTTTTCGTTGTGTATATTTGGACTCATAAGCCAAATTTTATTACTATCTAATGGCACAAATAATGAAGATTTCAAAAAATACACAATAAATGTTCTGGAATATATTCGACTACAAACAGGATGGTATTCAATGCAAAAATTACAAATTACTCAAGGTACTTTTGTATTAAATTATAAGAATATTGTTAGCGAAGTAATTGATGAGAGTAATTATATTGTTAAACTTAATTATATAATAAATTTTATAAACTGCGAATACTCTAATGTATTACAAATATTTGATGTTATGTTGAGTTTTATTATAAATAAGTGTCAGTCGGAATTAGAGGAAAACCGTCAGATTCAATTTCAATACTGCACAGAGCGGCTAATTGATATTGTAAAAAATTCTACAATCATGTTTATGAAACTTTTGGGCGCTACTGCATTTCTAAAACAATTCGATTTGCGAATTATTAACAAATTCTTAATAAATCCAAGAGTGATCGACAATGAAATCGAATTATTTTACAATTACGCAGATAAAATAAATCGACCGGAATTTTTTAACGAAAATAGTATTATTGATGTTTTTGAAGATATAAAAGGATTCCATAAAACTATAGCCGAACCAATAATACTACAACTGTATAAAATCAACGAGGTATGTGGCTCTAATTATAAAAATGATATTCCAAATGTTTTGAAGACAATTTATGACGTCAAAAATAGTAATGAACAAATAAATGATTCAGGCGAATATGTAAATATAATTTATAATAAGCTCAATGTATTATACAGGAAAGTAATTGATAATTATTACAAGAATCTTGGGTTTGGAGAGCTAATAGGAACTAATTCATTTAGGTAAGACAATCAATAAATTATTTTAATTTTATCGATTGACGGTATCTTTTACTTTATTATTAAAAACTCTTAAACGTATCTTTCATGAAAATTATCAATCAAATAAGACATTTTTGAAATTATTTGCTTGTAAATACTTAAGTTATTGATCCACTAGGTTTTACAATTTATTAACTTTTGATTTATAAAATATTTATTTTTTTTTTAACGATTTAAGCATATATATTTTTGTTTATTTCTAATAATAAAAAATAAAAAATATTAAAAAGGTATTTAATTCTTTCATAATTTTAAAATAGTAATTATTTAGACCTTTTTTAAAAAAAAATATTGTTTGGTGACAACTTTAAGATAAATAATAAATATTTTACAAGCATTTTAATTTAATGAGTGAGTTTGCAGCGCAGACCAAATCCACATATACCAGTACGAACTGTATTCATACGCACTACACACCCACTTCATTAATATGTTTTATATTAATAAATACTTATCCTAAAGTTGTTATCGGGCCATACAATTTTTTTGTCAGAAAAGTGCTAAAAAATTTTGTAAAAACTATAAATTAATTTTTTTTAATAATAACATATAATAAAAAATATGCTTTAAATTGTTGTTCATAACTGTAAAAGTATTGCGAAATATTCACTGGATCTAAAATAATTAGATTTAGAAAAACATTATGAACCTCTTGTATGCATACTAATGCACTCATACCAAATCGTTAATCCTAAAAATAAATTTAAAAATTTTATAAACTATAAAAATATTAAGGTCAATTCAATACAAAATAAATTATAGTTTTTCTTATATAAAGAAGATAGGTTCTTACTTATCTGTAATAACTAATAATAAAGTTTATTCGGATGGTATTAATAAAGAAGAATGATAATGGCATCATCCGTAAAGACATAATAAATACAAATACTTTGTTTCTAGTAATTACTAGATTAGTGTAGTTAGTGTGTTAAAACTACTCTTACTTGATTGATATCCACTGGAACAGTGATGATAGAATCTCGATTGTTGACTTGTAGTTGATAAGTGTTATTTAAAGTTATAGTAGGTAAGTTAATAAAAGAGAATTATATAGCATATATATTTTTAAGCAAAGTGTTAGTGATTTTAACAAATGTACGTTTTAGACTAAATAAGAAAAGTTAAGATAACAGTATAAAGAATACACTGGAGTATGTATGGAATAATCTTAAAGAGTTACTTGTTAACAGAGACTGTTGAGTAAAAAAAAGAGATAAGTAAGTAAGAAAAAAAACAGGGTCTGCAGCCCTTATATAATGTACCACGAACGGCATAAACAGGGATTGGGCGTCTTGAATGTGTCATACTTTTAGCGGAACAAATGCATTTTACCACCCCATCGAGTTTTTTCATTTTTTTTTTTTTAAAACGTGTATTTTTCAATGCTTTTTTCAAAAGTGTTTGAAAAAATTGTCGGAAAAAGTTGGTTCAAAAGTTATAGCTTTTTAAAGTTGAAACGTCAAAAACTAAAAATAGCTCAAAAATTGTTTTTTTTTTGTTAATTTTTGGGATTTTTTCTCATGATACTATTGTGAAACTATAATGACGTAATTATTACATAATATCCTCATTCTAAAAATCCTAAAACCAAAATTAACTTTAAAAATAAGGATTTTCCAAATTTTTTTTTTCAAAACTACGCACATCAAATTTACGCAATACGAAATAAAAATAACAAGAAACTCAATTAATTCAATTTGAGCAAAAAAAAAAAAGACCACGATGTGGTGTTTTACATAGAACTGTTAATTCAATAAAATAAAAGTTTTTACTGTTTATTATGTACACCAATTAACACTTGTTGTATACAAAAAAAAATTACTATTACATTAGATATTGTTGATATTAGTTAAGTTGTTGAGGTATCAAAATATACTTACTAATATCTTAATGTTATAATGTTGAGTTATACAAACCCATTTAAATATAAGTTGTGGTCACCTACGCCTGCCGGCTCCGGTGACCGATTCGAGCCCCTTCGGGACTCTCATGGGATGGGGGCTCACGCCCCCAAACCCCCAGAGGATAGAAGTCAAGCCCAAACCCAACCTATTTAAACCCATTCGACTGAAATTCTCAGTGACCCAACAAGTATAAAACCTTGATGTTAAAATGGTGATATAATATTGAAAAAAATTCAAAAAAAAATTAAATTTATTTACTTCAACACTACCTTAACACGTTTAATGTACTGATAAATACTCTTAAATTTACTATTCCTCGGTAACTACATCATCGAGAATACTTTTTATAGTTAATTAATGAAAATTATCAAAAAAAAACAGCAGTATATAACAAAATTTGTATATGATTATTGAAATCTTTGAAAGCTCATAACTTTTAAACTAGACTTCGCCGACAAAAAATTTTTATATATTCTTAGTCGGTATGAAAAACTAAATTGATTTAAAAAAAAAAATTTGAAAAATCTCGATGGGGTGGTAAAATGCATTTAAGCCA